TGTTGAGACAAATGCTGAAAATTCCATGCTGTTTTATACGTACTGTTGTTTTGGAATAAAGCAGGTTGAATTAGATGGGGCTTGTTTCATCCTCTCACACAATTCGGTGTTTGAAAGTCGAGTCTTTATACCGATGTGCTATGTGTCCACATGTAAGAGATTCAATTATTCAACAGTCACTTGAAATTCCATGAATTCGTCAGTCAGTTATATCTGTTGTGTGACGCCTAGTAATGTCATCCGATTGCTTAAGGTTCGGTAGGTGGAGAGCAGAGTTTGATTATGGCAAAAAGAATAGTAGTATCGAAAAACAATATAGTTTCGTTGGGTATTATAAGTCACAAGGAGTGGATGCATCTGTGCCCGTCATTGAGAACGATTACTTTGAGCCATATCACCGACTGTCTCCAGCCTTCATTGGTTTACCGTCCCCCAGACTCTAACCAGGAAGTCCACATCTTCTTACGTGGCTTAAACTAACTGTTGTGGATTTCATTGACTGATGAAGCCGTGTTTTGATCTGACCACCGCTAGCTCTTTTCCAGCCTGACCCTGTGTCAGCTGACATAGCCTGTTGTCGAGGAAGACGATGGCTAGGCATGCATGCGTAACACATTTCCTAACCATCTCAGTCGATGTAACTTCACAGCCTCGTCTATTGATTTTCCCTCCCACCTACCTAGCATCCGACCAATGCCTAACCTAAATATTTCTCACCTTATTACACCTACCACTTCAAACGGGAGATAGAACGCAAACACCTTTGATCAAAGACAGCTAGCCAGGCTTTTCATGTCTTCCACTTTCAGTGGCCAGGTTTCACTCACAGCCATAAACGAGGACAGAGCGGACTGCTGAGCAGTACATACGCCCTTTGGTCGACGATCAGCCGGATGTTACGTCTACGCCAGAGATGGTGGAGGCTGGCATATGCGAATTTTTATTTAATTAGACTTGTAACTATCGAGAAATGAGAGATTTGTTCAACTGTTAACTATAAGAATTTGAGTCAAAATTTCAACATTACATTCTTTTGTATCAAAAGGAGAATCACCCTCAAGAAACTTTTCCGTCATACATACTACTCATAAGATATTTCACTATACTACTTAATTAGAACACTGGTTTCCTTCCCTTAAACTACCCAACTATATATAAACCTGTGATTTAAAAAGAAATCTGTGCTGAAACACATAGAACTATTCGACTAAGGGTAAATGTTAGAGGCAGTGGAAATTTCGATCTCATCATTATCATATTTCAAGGATTAGCTGATCGGAAACAACACTTAACAGTACAATAAAATCAAAAGAAGTGATTCAGCGAAGAGACTCTTTTCAACGAATTTATCATCAAGCTGTACAGTCATCTATATATGGTTTTTTATGAAGTTTTATCCGGTGAGGGAATTGAATCTTAGGTGTGAATGCACAAAATAATAATAATATAAAGTTCAATTAAAATTAAAATGTTTGTGATTATAATCGTAGTTAAATGTCAAGTGGCAAAACAGTTAATGTCATATATAGAATAATTCATAGGATGGATAGAACTTGAAAAAGGGTATGCAATTATAGGATTAGTAGACAAATCGAATAAAAACAAAAACGTCATGTAATATTGTGTGAAATTTAATAGCATAGAATTTATCGTTGTAAAAAAGAATTGATTTAGAATGACAAGTGAAATAATACCGGGGACAGTTCAAAGTGAGAATAGTAATAATAACAATTGACTTAATAAGGAAGAGTATACAAATTGAATAGACAAAATGAAAATAAAAATGAAAAATTGGTGGAGGTAAAATATGATTGGGGATTACCATATTTATCATAGAGGGATTAAGACCATGAAAGTTGGAGGGGTTGAACGAACTTTTTCTAAACACAGAGATCTGGCTTTTCTGTTTCGATAGCCGAAGCTGAAGCAATACAGATGAGTCGGGTACGCAGGGATTTGGGTAAATTACTCTTTGCCTTGCAGATGACTTTAAAGGCCACTTCACATTTAACTACGATTATAATCACAAACATTTTAATTTTAATTGAACTTCATATTATTATTATTATTTTATGCATTCACACCTAAGATCCAATTCCCTCACAGGATATAACTTCATAAAAAACCATATATAGACGACTGTACAGCTTGATGATAAATTCGTTGAAAAGAGTCTCTTCGCTGAATCACTTGTTTTGATTTTCTATATGTTACAATGGGAATTTCCCATGGGTACAATAAAAGAAAACAATCCAAAGAATTGAATACGATTTAGAAATGTCACATGACGGTGAAGAAATGCATACATAATGCTTAGGGGACCTGCATCAGTCAAACTGCTAGGAATACAATACATAAAGTAAATACTTTTGATACTGAAGTGTTGACATATTCAAATATCTCATATTTTGAATCAAATTAATTATCTAAGTGGTATAGCTTGAAACTTATTGCTGTAGACTAGGGGCATCCACTTTATGTACACAAGTTTATTATATCGTATCACTTATTGGGCAGATGTACTTTACAGTAGCTCATACAACAATGCACTAAGTCTTATGTTGATAATATTTGTTGTTTTTTTTTGATTACGTAACTGATAAAGAATTGAACCACCATCCTTTGATATTTGTGTAAATTTAGGTGGTCACCACCGGGGATACTAATAAGGTAACTTATGGAACTATATAAACATACTAAGTGCATTTATTTTTCAGATCACAGTTGAGCTGTGACCCATAGGTCTAGGCAGTCTACTTCCAACCAGTCGGTCACAGGTTCTAACTCCATACAATCTGCTGAGCTTTCGAAAACCACGTAATATCACTAGTCCTCGCATTCACTACATATGGCTGACGGTCTACCACATGTCATTGTGAGTATTTGTTGAATAACATTTCATTTTTTCCAGATAATAGATTTACAAGAATTAACCTCGCAAAAATAAATTGTGATATACACCGTATACATCATATGCTATATGTCTTTATTTGCACAGGGAACTAAAATATCCATAAGGCGTGATTTAACAGGGCAATGTTAAACAATAGCGTCCCAAGGGATGCGAACGCATGAGTGACGCTGAGTCTACCAACCATAAAAATAAGTGATTTTTGTACAAAAAATGACGTTTATTTACAAAGAAAATGCATGATAACACATAAAACAAGGTTTCTTTCTCTGACATGACTTAAAAATACTTTCCAGTTTTAGTGAGAAGTGTCAGTCTTTTAAGTGAGACCAGTTTCTGCACATGTATTCACCGAGGTGACTTAGGGTGGGCCTTTTTCTGTCTTGTTCATCGCTCTTATCCTGTTTTGCAGTATTCTTCAAAAGCCCTCGGTTGAATTACTATGGTTTCCAGGAAGAGTATCGATGACTACTTACTGGGAAAAAGTGGATAATAGAACAAATTAAAATAAATAATACCAACTCTATATCTACCTCTAATCGTAACTGCGACCTTAATCCTAAGCCTAATTATAACCCTTATCCTAACCCCTAGTGTTCATATTTGCGCCCTAGTAATGACAGGTGCTTTTAGCCAACAACTAACATGCGTTCAAATTCATTGGGGTATTCGCACCCCTGGGATGCTATTGTTTAATTTCAGTATTAATAGTACAGTAAATTTAACATCACTACCTGTATCTGTAGAAAATGTCACATTTTTTATTGGTTTGAGAAACTCCAAAAACAAGTACTTTACAGTACCTACACAATATTCCGTACTTAGGTTAATAATCACCGAAACTTTTTCTCATAAACATAACTGTAGGACACATAACTGAACAATTCATAGCATTCCTAGGTTTCCCACTATTATATAGGACGTTGTCATGATATTTAATGACACACGACACTTGTAGCTAGTTCTACTTCGAACCTAAGCGAGACAACGCTCTAATAAATAAACAATCAGCTCTTAGTAAATACATGAAATTCAATATATTGGGCTACAAGTTATGCTTGAAATTAGATGAAATCTCCCAGGCCCAGTTAGGTGGGACAGGATCCATACCAGATGCTCAGTATCTGAAAGCGAAATGGCAGAGACGCAATAGGCCACATTTCCATGTCTGTTATATTCATTTTTCCTACAGATAAATCATGTGAGTAGCGACTCCCAAAACTAATCAAACTTGCTGAGTGTTGACACCCATGTATCATAATAAAGTTGTGTGTAAGAAATACTAGTCTGTTGTTGAGAAACCAAGTTAAGGTATCACAACTAAGAAATCTGAGATGTAGAAGACGCATGACTTAAATCTTAGGCATAAAAGATGACAAATGATAAAAATAAATGTGAATTATTAATGTCTGCTACTAGGTAGTCACATGTCATAAGCCTTTCAAGTAATGTTCAAGTCTTAAACAACAACTAAACGTCGTACTCCGAATAACTACTGCAAGGAAGCACAAGCGATAGGACGTAAGATACGAGTTTTATATTAAATATGTGCTTGATTTCAACATGCATAAACATTCAAAAATTGACAGAGAATTACATTACACGTTGGAAACATTTTCAGTTACTTGATGACTGCATTCCAACCGCAAAAAGTATGTTTATGAAAAATCCCTACTGCTCAAAAATACACGATTTGTCAAAGTTAATTATCATGAAATTTTACTTTGGAATCACAAATACTGCGTCAAATATTACCAACCTAAACACGTCTAAAAAATACCTACCCTTGAAACACCAAAAACTTTGGAACTGACTGATGAATTGAACTTCTCCGTTCACGACAAATCAGAATAATACGTACACCTGGTCAGTTTTCTTTACACGTCAATTAACGAAAACAAAGAGTACAAGCGTACCCAAAAGAACCCATATAAATACTTTTGAAGTTCAAATGAAAAAATAAAACTCAATATAAATAAAATGCATTGGATAAAGCTAATGGCTTTTACAGGTTTGGTTTTTATGTACAAAAGGATAAAAAATTTGTTCGATACACTGAACAAATAATGGCAGTCGGTAAGTTAAGGATTTATTTAACCTTTCTTTGCATTAGAGCCATTACATCAGGTTTTGCAAGCTGCCTGCCCACCAAGACGATGACAACGCCGCCGGAGAAGAATAAACAGGGTAGCCAAGCTGCCATCATAGGATGGGAAAACCTGTACATACATTGTTATTATTATGCTTAATTTAATTTACCTGTAAAGTTGTTTCCAAACAAATGATTGAAAAATAAATGTTGCTAGTAGAGCGGCTGCCATCCCAAAAACAAATCCAACTCGAGATCCATCAAACACCCACCACAGTGCTATAGAGAGTCCAATGGCTGTTAGTGAGAGTTGTGAATAGGTGGCGAAGTCAATCCTTGCAGTTGCGTGACTGAATCCGAAGAAAAGTGCAGCACACCTCAGTACTGAAGACCATTCATTATTATAAACGTCGAAAACGCCCAGCTTGGAGTCAACGCACGGTGAAAGAAGTCCTACAGCCACTAAAGAGTAATAATAAGATAAAGTAGGAGATCATACTAGATGCAACGCCACAACAGAATGGTATCCAGAATTTAGCAGCGGACTGTGTGTAAAAAGATATTTCTGATGATGTGAATTCTCCCTTGATATTGTGTAACGCTTCACAAACCCAACAGAAACATATGCCGAGAAAGAATAGTAGAAGTCCACGGAAAACAAGAACAGGAAATCTAGTCATCTGTAACAGGAGTACCATCGCGCCAATAGATTAGACCTTGAATGACCAGCTGAGACAAGATTGTCTGGAGTAGTAAAACACTGGTATCTTGTACTCTTGAACGTCTAGATAGTTGAAACAAATTCAACTGAATTTTCGATTAAAAGCTTTTAGCTGGCTAGAATTTGAAATGATTAGCAGAATTTATTGCATTGTCAAGTATAGTAACTTCAGTCCTACTAGGTTTATATCAGTTACGTCAATACAATGCCCCTCAAACTACACGCCTATTAGTCTCACTAGAATGGTAATCAAGACACTGGAAGGAACCATCTAGAAGATTATCATGGCATATCTGGAAAACAACAGTTTTTTCCAGGGCACATCATGGCTTCCGAGGAAACCTGTCATTCCTGTCAAATGTCCTCACTGTGAGAGAAAGTTGGGTCAAATCAGGGGACAACAGAAGACCCGTTAACTTCGTCTTCATAGACTTCAGCGAAGCCTTCGATGAAGTCCCCCGCAAAAGACTACCAATGAGGTTGAAAGGTCTTGGTATCGAAAGCAGCTGACTAAATTGCATTAGGGGATTCCTAATAGATAGGGGGCAGAGAGTCATTATCAACTCGAAACCCTCCTCCTGGACAACGGTGTGTAATGGAATGCCACGAGGCGCGGTACTCGGACCTCTACCATTTGTTTTCTATATCACTATTACGCTACATTTTGGTCATAAATAAAATCTCTTATTACTCTAAAATTTTATGCAAAGTGTTTGCGGAAATTATCACAATTATTAACCTTTCGAACACTGAATCCAAAAAATACAATCTTATTGACAGATAATACACATAACTCACTGTTTGGATTTGTGGAATTTTTAAACATAAACACATCTATAATTGTATATATTGTTGGATTTATATGTTCAAGTTGCTCCAAGTCAGTGAGTTTATGGTTAAGATATCATTTTAGTTAACTGTACTGAACTATATTGCATGTTGTCTTATTGTATAGTTGTCGTCGCTTTTTGCCCTTTTTTCTGTGAACTGTTTCCTTTGTTGATGTTGTTCTCATTGTTTGTCCGTTATTTTCTGATTTTGAGGGGAGCAACCCAAAAAGTTGCTTCTCTCTAAACTTTTACTTAATGTAATCATTCTTTTCTCAGGCGTGAGGCTAGCAACCCCACCCTGTAAACAAAAATTGCTACAGAAACTTCAGTATGTGAACCTCCTTGCACCAAAAGAAAAAGTCTGTGTAGGAACATGGAACGTCCGAACTATGTACGAGACTGGAAAGCTGCCCAGATCGCCAACGAGATGAAAAGATACGGAATACAAGTGCTGGGAATATGTGAGAGCAGATGGAATGGGAGTGGACTCACCAAATTGTCAACAGGTGAGTCAGTGATCTACTCCGGTCACCCAGAAGATAACCACACGCACACCGAGGGCGTGGCTATCATGATGTCACCAACGGCAACGAAAGCCCTGATACAATGGGAGGCGATTTCGTCCAGGATAATGACCGCCAGGTTCAACTCCAAAGGAAGGAAAGTGTCAATCATACAATGTTATGCACCCACAAACAACGCAGACCTCGAGAAGAAAGAAGAATTCTACAGGCAACTACAGGCAACAATGGACAATACTCCAGCTGGCGACATGAAAATACTAATGGGAGACATGAACGCCAAACTGGGACCAGACAATACGGGAAGGGAACTCATCATGGGTAGAGAAGCTCTAGGAGAAATGAATGAAAACGGAGAACTCTTCGCCGACTTCTGCGCCTTCAACGAACTGGTGATTGGTGGCAGTGTATACAAGCACAAAGATATCCACAAGGCTACATGGGTGTCACCAGACGGGCAAACCAAAAACCAAATCGACTTCATCTCAATCTCAAGGAAGTGGAGGCGCAGCCTACTGGACACAAAAGCAAGAAGAGGAGCAGACGTTGGCTCAGACCACTATCTCGTACAAGGGACAATCCAAATCAAATTAAAAGCTTTCAGGGAATCAGGAGCTGCAGATAGACCACAAGCCAAGTTCAACACTCAAAAGCTGAAGGACCAGGCTACAAAGGACATCTTCATTGCAAGCATAAAGGACAAAGCCGAGACACAAATCAACACTAGCGAAGAGGTCGGCGTTGAAAAGCACTGGAACAACTTGAAAACGGTGTGGAGCCAAACCTGCATAGAAATTCTAGGCAGAAAAAAGAGACAGGACAAACAGTGGCTCACTACGGACACTTGGAAACTAATAGAAGAGAGAAGGACAGTGAAGCAAAAGATTATCCAGTGCACGACGAGCAACAAAAACAGGAGCTGAATGCAAGCTACAATACACTGAACAAAAGAGTGAAGAAAAGTGCCAGGGAAGACAAAAGAAAATATTATGAAACCATGGCAAACGAAGCAGAACAAGCTGCAGGCAAAGGAGACCTCGCCACACTCTACCAAACAACTAGGAACCTTTCGGGCAAACGTTCGACACAGATTAAGCCAATAAAGGACGACAATGGAAAGTCAATCACCAAAGAGGTGGAACAGAGAAAGCACTGGGTTGAACACTTCAAAAGACTTCTAAATCGTCCGCCACCTACAACACGTCCAGCAATACCAACAACGGAAGCAGAACTACCAGTGAACACTGACCCCCCGACGAAATCAGAAGTCCTGAATGCAATCAAGATGCTTAAAACTGGGAAAACACCGGGACCAGATGGAATCCCAGCAGAGGCTTTGAAAATAGACCCAGAGACAACAGCGGACTTGATGACACCACTACTGGAGAAGGTGTGGAAAGAGGGCAAAGTACCCGAGGATTGGAAGAACAGTTACTTATTCAAACTTCCAAAGAAAGGAGACTTAAGTCAATGTAAAAACTGGCGTGGAATTATGCTTCTGTCCATTCCAAGCAAGATACTAAGTCGCATCATCCTGGAGAGAATCAAACAAGCCCTAGATGAAAAACTTCGTCCGGAACAGGCTGGATTCAGGAGAAACAAATCATGTATTGATCAAATCGCCACTCTACGGATCATCATTGAACAAAGCTTGGAATGGCAGTCACCTCTCTATCTCAACTTCATCGACTTTGAAAAGGCCTTCGACAGCGTCGATCGAGAGGTCATTTGGAAACTACTTCGCTACTACGGGGTCCCATCGACAATTATACACCTCATCCAACAGTTATACGACAATGCTGCATGCCAAGTAATCCACAACGGGAAACTTACGGAAGCCTTCGAAGTGAGGACGGGAGTGAGGCAAGGCTGTCTACTATCACCAATGATCTTCCTGATTGCAATTGATTGGATAATGCGACAGACAACGGCAACCAACGAGGGAACAGGCATAAAATGGACTGACACAAAAGACTTGGAGGATCTGGATTTCGCCGATGATATATGTCTGATTTCCCATAAACTGGAAGATATGCAAGTGAAAAGTAACAAGTTGGCAGAAGAAGCATCAAAGATAGGACTTCACGTGAACATAGATAAAACAGAGATGATGAAGATTCCTAGCCAACATCAACAACAACAGACCACAATAAGCATAAATGGGAAGAACCTGAAAGAAACAACCTCCTTCACCTACCTGGGAAGCATCGTCTCAACTACAGGCGGAACTGACGAGGACATCAAAGCCAGAATCGGAAAAGCAAGACAAGCTTTCATTACTCTCAAATCTGTGTGGAGGTCAACAGCAATCAGCATCAAAAATAAGATCCGGATTTTCAACTCCAATGTGAAGTCAGTGCTACTATACGGATCAGAGACTTGGCGAGTCATAAAGAGCATCTCAAACAAACTTCAAACCTTCATTAACAACTGTCTCCGCTCAATACTCAAGATCAGATGGCCAGAAAAGATCAGCAACAGGGATCTCTGGGAGCGAACCAATCAGGAACCGATTGTGAAACAAATAGGCAGAAAGAAATGGAGATGGATTGGCCATACGCTGAGGAAACCATCAAGTGACATCACTAGACAAGCCCTCGAGTGGAACCCGAAAGGGAGGCGGCGAGTTGGTCGTCCAAGGGTGACTTGGAGGAGGTCATGCGAGGAGGAGATGAAAGCATGTGGACAGACCTGGAGCAGGGTGAAAAAGTTGTCAGAAAACCGAAGTCAATGGAGGTGCGCAGCTGAAGCCCTATGTTCCTCTAGGAACTAAAGGATACAATAATAATATAATAATAAGTCACGTCTGCTCACCGATCCGCCCATGGTCCCATACGCGGATGACCTAAAAATTTAGAGAGAGAGAGACGAGGGGCAATAGTGGTACGTTCACGTTGCAAAAGGACCTCAACAAATTGTCAGAGTGGTGCAGAGAATGGATACTCCCGATGAATGTAGCAAAGTGTGCAACAATGCACATCGTGCAACTACGCATCAGCTTCGACACCCATCAGTTCAGACTCATTTGGATTTTCATTCTTTTTGATCTGGTACCAGAATAACGGCGGGCCATTCCACTCAATATGTCGAATAAGGCATGCAGGGGCAGATCATTACCATCGAATGAATCAACTTGATCTGAGATGCAGCTTTCAGCATGTTTTCGTTATGTCATAGATATCCAGGTTTATTGGCGCTGTATAGGCAGTGATTTGGATTATGACGTATTCCGCAGAGAGTCTCCGCGTCCATGTGATGTATACATATGCGTTGTATGGATTACTTTGTTGGCTCCTACCCCCACTGAGTGTTTACAACAGCAGCTGTGGATTTATGTATCTCCTCGCCATTTTGGATAAAACGTCGCTGCATTCTTTTTGGGAAGGAGACCAGTTGGTGGATTATAAATGATGTCCAAGCAACTTTTATCTTTTCATGTGGTGTTGCGGTAAGTTTCTACCTTGTTTTCTCATATTTCATTCGTATGTTGGTTATGGTTCACCCTTTGTATCGGGTAGACACAGTTCGATCGACTCTTAATTGAATGGGTGTTATTGTCATGACTGCTGCTTTTTTGTCTGGAAATATAAGTAGAGGCAAAACAAACATCAGGTGTAGTCTCTGAG